AGCAAAGGGTCTGAATACTTATGACCATGTGATATTTCAGTTTTTCTTTTTTAACAAATCTGCAAAAATGTCAAATTGTGTTTTTCTGTCAATATGGGGTGCTGTGTGTACATTAATGAGGAAATTGAAGAAAAAAAATGAACTTAAATGATTTTAGCATATGGCTGCAATATAACAAAGAGTGAAAAATTTAAGGGGGTCTGAATGCTTTCTGTACCCACTGTATTTCTAGGTCAGTGATGTGCAGCTGGTTTCACTGAGTTGGATTCAGCCTTAGCTGTAGTTTTCATTACAAATTCTCATAAAAGAAACTTTAATCCTAAAACAAACTCAGTCCAGGTCAGTGAAATGTTATTGCTGAATTTTATTCACATTCTGTGTTTGCAGGATTGTGTGTGTGTGGGTGAGCAAGAGAGGGCTTTGTGTTAATATAGTATTTGTTGTTGTTAATTCAGTATTTGTGTATGACTGACATGTATCCATATTTGTGTTGTTGTGAGAGGATGTGGAAAAATGTATAAACAATTGAGCCGGTAATGAAACATCTCTATTTTTGTTTTCATCCTGACACACCAAGCTGACAGTTAACAGCCAGGCACCATTACCTTGACAAAGGGTGTTTGCTGATGAAGCGTGATGACTCTGTGTCAGAGAAGGTCACTCGCTCTATGCAATGCATCTTTTTGCCTCTACTTTTCCATTTCGCAAGTAAAGACCTTGGGCTGACGACATCAGTGCAACACAAAAGTTACTGTGTTAGCTACTGCTATTTAAGTGTTCAAGAGTAAATGGAGTCCATTAAAACAGATGAGAAAGTACGTGCATGTCAGCGGCCGGCTGTTCTGTGGTGTGTTCAAGGGCCTTTGTAAGGTAAAGCCCAGTTCATGCATGCTGCGTCCATATGGGCAGGTGGGTCCCTGTGACTTAAACTTTATCATCTGACCATGTCTGCAGAGGTCCTCGCTCTGCCCAAAATATGCTGCCTTGTGGCTCCTGCAGTACTGCTGACTGCACATGCACAAGAAAAGCTAACTAGACACTTGTGTGTACTATATGCTGCATTTCACATAGTTGGGTTTACTGCCATTAAGCAGTTGCACAGTTTGTTTTTTTTCTTCACATTTTATTTTTGATCAGCCAAATAACGTGAGAGCTGGATGATGTGCGGTCAACATCTTATTTTGTAGTACATGTGCACACTGTCTACAGATCCTGATTATTGTATGCATAGAGGCATGTTACTGTCTAATGTCCACAGCTGTGTGTGTCTGCACTGAAGTGTGAACAAACCTCGACAAGTCTTTATTAGCTCTAACTTCTTGTTGACTTGGTGTGTCAGTGCTCTATGTGAAAGGGTGAATGTAGCAATTAAGAATTTGACATAACCTTTAGGTGTGGTCTAGCTGACAATGTTTTAAACTTGAAAATGATATTTTACATGCAAATAGAATGATTTGGACCTTAATATTTGCACAGTTCCAGGTCATTTGATTTAATGTAGCCTCAATTTGAAAAGGAGTTTTTCACTGACTGACTGTGGACCAGTATATTAAAAGAAAACAGGTGGACAAATGCTGTTTGTGCCTTGCCAGAGACAAGGAAGCATGGAAGTGAATCTTACAGTGGGGCAAAAAAGTATTTAAGTCAGCCACCAATTGTGCAAGTTCTCCCACTTAAAAAGATGAGAGGCCTGTAATTTACATCATAGGTATACTTCAACTATGAGAGACAGAATGAGGAAAAACAAATCCAGAAAATCACTGTCTGATTTTTAAAGAATTTATTTGCAAATTATAGTGGAAAATAAGTATTTGGTCAATACCAAAAGTTCATCTCAATGCTTTGTTATATACCCTTTGTTGGAAATGACAGAGGTCAAACGTTTTCTGTAAGTCTTCACAAGACTTCACACACTGTTGCTGGTATTTTGGCCCATTCTTCCATGCAGATCCCTCTAGAGCAGTGATGTTTTGGGCCTGTCGCTGGGCAACACGGACTTTCAACTCCCTTCAAAGGTTTTCTATACACGGTACAAGCCTTTGTTACTTTGGTCCCAGCTCTCTGCAGGTCATTCACTAGGTCCCCCCGTGTGGTTCTGGGATTTTTGCTCACCGTTCTTGTGATCATTTTGACTCCACGGGGTGAGATCTTGCGTGGAGCCCCAGATCGAGGGAGATCATCAGTGGTCTTGTATGTCTTCCATTTTCTAATAATTGCTCCCACAGTTGATTTCTTCACACCAAGCTGCTTGCCTATTGCAGATTCAGTCTTCCCAGCCTGGTGCAGGTCTACAGTTTTGTTTCTGGTGTCCTTCGACAGCTCTTTAGTCTTGGCCATAGTGGAGTTTGGAGTGTGACTGTTTGAGGTTGTGGACAGGTGTCTTTTATACTGATAACAAGTTCAAACAGGTGCCATTAATCCAGGTAACGAGTGGAGGACAGAGGAGTCTCTTAAAGAAGAAGTTACAGGTCTGAGAGAGCCAGAAATCTTGCTTGTTTGTAGGTGACCAAATACTTATTTTCCACCATAATTTGCAAATAAATTCTTTAAAAATCAGACGGTGATTTTCTGGATTTGTTTCATTCTGTCTCTCATAGTTGAAGTATACATATGATGTAAATTACAGGCCTCTCATCTTTTTAAGTGGGAGAACTTGCACAATTGGTGGCTGACTAAATACTTTTTTGCCCCACTGTAGTTTCTTTTCCATCACCGATAAGGAATAACAATTGATATTCGTAACTGCCATGGGCAGTTTATCCAGCTGTCTTCAGCTTTGTGCAGAAAACTGTTACCTTTACAGTGCAAGTGTTGTAATGTAGGCTATCTGCTGAAGATGTACTTAAGCAGAGTTTTGTTCTCAGAGCTCTTCTTCACTTCTTCCAGAGAGAACAGGAAATGAAAGTGGGTGAGCTGGGCCCTCGTGGAGCCATTAATTTGGGAGGTACGGGCATGTTTGTGTAACGACTGGTTAGTACAACAGCCAGATCAAATGAGGATGAATGAACGATGAGTGCCTTAATGTCATTGTTCTTCATTATTTGTCTTGCATCCCAAGTGAGTCCTCTTCAGCAAATATGTATTTTCAGTTGCTCGAACACAAACTTCATGTGTATTTTGATGCCCTTTTTGGGGTAAAATCGACTCACATGGGCTGCAGTGCAAAGCAGAAAAAAAACACTATACCACAAAACATTGTCTATACTAACAGAATATACAGTGTATTGATTATGACTCTGAATGGGGTTGTGTTGGGTTGGGGTGCCATAGTGAGAGAAGTACTTGGTCCCTAAGCTCTCTTCCTGATTTGTATCCAGATCTGAAGTCAGTGTTAATATTTTTCTTTTGGGGAGCCAATGCTAAAGGGGTTCAGCTGGTATTTGCGATTTAAGGATGATATTTACAGAAAGTAAATATTTATCTGCGGAGTTCAGGATGAGAGGCTGGGGACTAATATTTAAGACTGTGGTGCTATTAAGAGGACAGATTGTAGAGCTGGTGGCTCTTCACCATACAAACATAATAACCTTGGGTTGCACATCACCTTTTTGAACAAACCTGTATCGTCTTTTAGCACAAGCTGCAGGGGTTTTCTCTGTTTCATGCTGATAACACTGTGATGTGAAATATTTCGCACACTTTCCTTTTAGCTGCTTCGTCTGCTCTAGCAGCAGTTTTGACTCATGGTAGTGTGTGTGTGTGTGTGTGTGTGTGTGTGTGTGTGTGTGTATTTTTGACTGAAGGTGAAGGTACAGTGGCCTCAAACTATTCCATGAGAAGACTGTTTTCACGTGTTGCAGTACATATGAAGCTAGAATCAGCAGCTGGTTAGGTTGGCTTAGCATAAAGACAGAAGGGGTAAACGGCTAGCATGGGGCTGTCCACCTACCAGCACCTTTTAATGCTCACGACTTAGTATGTTTTATCTCTTTAAACTGCAGTGCAACGAAGTGGGAAAATGCCACATTGACCACTTTCTCCGTATATCTCTTGTTAATAACTGCTTTCTCTCTGGCAACCTCACAGTGATGACAAGACTAGAGGAAGGTACTGTAACCGACCAGGAAATAGTGTGGCATATAACCGCCTATAAAGTCACAATCTGTCGTTTTTGCATTAGTTGCTGTGTGCAGTTTACATCAGTACTCAAGTTGCATTATGTCTGAATGTTGCAATTAACAGTGGCAAGAAAAAGGATGTGAACCTTTTGGAATGTCATGGTTTTCTGCATTAATTTGTCATAAAATGTGATCAGAATTTTTTTTGTTTTGTTATATTGGGCACATTATATTCATCAGTACTCTTGACTTAGATGAAGATCAGATCACATTTTATGACAAATTAATGCAGAAAACCATGAAATTCCAAAAGATTCACATACTTTTTCTTGCCACTGTATGTCTTTGTTGATATTTCACTTATTGTGTTGTCAACAGTTTTCCTAGCACCATTTCTTCGGTAGAAGGTAGCTCCAAAGAAACAAACATACCTGAATCATATCTTTATCCACTAGCATCTGGTAAAAGAAATGCTTTCCTAACATCTGCATTAAAAAAATATTTGTTGATGTCTTTCTGCAGTCTTATGAAATACTGCTGTTGCTATTCTAAAAAATGCAAAGTTTGGCAATGCCACATTTTTTGACTTTTGTATTTACAATGTCAGATTTACTTATTCTCCAGTCAAGTTAATTGTAGTACACCAGGTATGTGTGCAGCAGTGGGAATGTTCTGTAGTGTGGGTTTATGTTTGAACCTGCAAAGTCTGTGCAAGTCTTTTCATTGGTCTGATATTGTTTTCTGACAACTCAGTTTCATTTTCTTTATGATTAAGGTGATGTGCTGTCCAAGGGTTGGCTAGTTTAAAATGTGGGCCTTGCCATTTGGCTTCAAATTTTAGCTGTCGAAGTGAGAACCTCTCATTCAGCTAATTACACAATCTGCCTCTGTCTGTTCTTTCTGCAAGTCATTTTTTTTGTCATATTACTGTGCATGTTTAATTTAACGTTGGTTTTTGGTTTTGAATGTCATATGTATTCAAACTATTGTTTGATCATATACTGAAGTTCAACTTCAAACTGAGTTCAACCTACAATTTAGGTCTATTTTAAATAAGTAGCTATGTTTTTAATAAGTGGTAGATGGGGATGCACCGATCAGACTAGATCAAATATAACTCACTGCATGCAACATGTTGGTCTTATACTGTAGATGGCACTCTAACTGAAGCACACAGCTTATTAACTTTAAGCAGTGACATTCATAAAGCATTGATCTTGTACGTATTTATTAGATGTTTATTAAATTACATTGTTTTGCATCAGCTTTAAATATCTATTGTTGTACTACTGGTGTTCTCCTCGGGGTGGCAGTGTCAGTTTATGGGCTGGTCTATCACACTTTGTTTCAGACTCTTACAGTGCCTTGCGAAAGTATTCGGCCCCCTTGAACTTTGCGACCTTTTGCCACATTTCAGGCTTCAAACATAAAGATATAAAACTGTAATTTTTTGTGAAGAATCAACAACAAGTGGGACACAATCATGAAGTGGAACGAAATTTATTGGATATTTCAAACGTTTTTAACAAATAAAAAACTGAAAAATTGGGCGTGCAAAATTATTCAGCCCCCTTAAGTTAATACTTTGTAGCGCCACCTTTTGCTGCGATTACAGCTATAAGTCGCTTGGGGTATGTCTCTATCAGTTTTGCACATCAAGAGACTGAAATTTTTGCCCATTCCTCCTGCAAAACAGCTCGAGCTCAGTGAGGTTGGATAGAGAGCGTTTGTGAACAGGGGGGGGGGGGGGGGTCTCTTTCTCATGCAGAAAGCTATTTACAGGGAAATGCGATGGATTAGCTGAAGCTCATCAATAGGGAGCGCCTGCTCACCCGGTGCTTTACAGACTGGCCACCAATCGAAGGGAATTTCAATATTTACCTACATCCTCGTTTTGTTAGTTGCAGTTAAGCAAACACGCAATTCGCTAATTCATGTTAGTGGATGAGTGAGACTTGTTTAAGTATTTTCCTTCCACGCTAATGATGATTCATTTGAATGACTTTAGGTGTGAATTTTGACTCACGGGCCATTGAATACAGATAAACAACAGGGTGGTTCGTTTTAACATCTATCCATGAGCCAATTTAACGATCATATTACAATTACATTAACTGGGCAGATAGTTTTGTTCTGACCTATTGTACATATGTTATTTGTCTGTCACACACACACACTCCTGCAAACAGAAGTATATAAAATGTATTCACACACTGTTGGAGTGAGATGAAATACACAAGGATTAAAGGCACCCAACACCACAAAGTCACATCACAAAATGCCAAAACAGTCAAAAGTGCATTCATCAGTCTACATGAATTAAATCGATCGTTTCATGTATTTGTTTTATACAGTGTGGCTCCGATGGCATTAGTACCCCTGCAGAGGCAGATCATGAGGAATTGTTTAGTGTTAGGCTGTACCGGAGATCTTTGAGTTCTGAAAATCATTTTCGAGCTGAGGTTAACAATTGTTTAGGTCCTTTTGATGAAGGAAAGCAAAGCAACAAATTACTGAAAAAGTCTAGTTTGTGTTGGCCGCTACAAAGTATTAACTTAAGGGGGCTGAATAATTTTGCATGCCCAATTTTTCAGTTTTTTATTTGTTAAAAACGTTTGAAATATCCAATAAATTTCGTTCCACTTCATGATTGTGTCCCACTTGTTGTTGATTCTTCACAAAAAATTACAGTTTTATATCTTTATGTTTGAAGCCTGAAATGTGGCAAAAGGTCACAAAGTTCAAGGGGGCCGAATACTTTTGCAAGGCACTGTATCTTAACAACTCCTGGATGCCATGGAATTCTGTGCTGGCATTGACAGAGCTATCCTGAATGTCTTTGGCCATGTCCTGACTTTATCTTTAGTAACACATTTAAGTTGACATCCCATTTTGAAGTAAGATTTTTTTTTTGTGTGTCAACTTTAGGATGTATTACCATGAAATTTCTTATTCATGTCCTTCATCGGGATCAATTTTTGTTTCGATTTTTCTAATACTTTAATTTATGAACAATTACTTGTAACACTGTTGTTGCTTTAACTTCACCTGTTTGTGTTTAGGAGTGATTAAAAATGTTACCATCCTAACATGGGAGACTAAGATGGTGAACATGGAAAAAATTATACCTGCTAACATCAGCATGTTAGCATTGTCTTGGTGAGCATGTTAGCATACTGACAGGAGCATTTTTACCAGACCTGATGGCAGACATACCATTACCTTCATCTTGTCTAATGCACGTAACTCAGTAATGACTCATTCTGAGCTGTTTATTGACCTGCATATGCTGCAGAAAATGTAGTCAATTGGCCAGCTGGGGACTGTGACAGTGTTTGTTTTTGTTTTGTTTTGTTTTTTTCTTAAAATTCTTTCAAGTCATGGAATGGAGCAGTGTAACTACTCTGTGCTTCTGGGTCTGCTGGAATCACGATGATGCTAATTGGCCCTCATAATGTTGAGAGGTCCTCAGCTTTATGTAAATACCACTGTAGTGTACCTGGGCAGTTTTTGAATCTGTCGATCTCTGCAGGGCTGCAAAGCCAGGTCTCTTTTACAATGAATGGCATTTTTGAATCCATATGTGTTAAGCTATTGTAAGAAGAGCAGTAGATTAACACATCAAAATGATTACACCGCAAGAAATAAACGGAGCAGAAGAGAAAATCGCCTTATTATGCATCACTCATATCTTGTAGAGACTGATCAGGTGCATCCCCAAGATTTTTAGCTGTCTACTAAAAGCCAACGTTAACTGGTATGTTTAAGCCATTGAGAACAGCTCTAGCATTCATCTACTACAGTTCTTACTGGGCGTTGAGTACATTGCATTGAATTACCAAATGACCAATCGATGCTCCGCTGTTTTGCGTGTAGATGGCTATAACCAGGCCTCTGCAGGGCCCAGTGGTAACCAAGGTCAAATGATGGGCATGAGTGGAAGGGGAGGAGCCATTGGCCCAGAGGGAACTGCAAATATGGGCACACCATTGATGTCAGAGAATGGAGCCATGGTAATGTATTTGGAAAACCTAAATGAAGCTTATCTCTGAGTACATCTTCAAGATTAAAGTATAATATTTTGGCAGAATGTCACCTTAAAACGGTGCATTATACAGACTATCACTGTCTGATTAAAATAAAAGTAAAAGCAATTATTGTGAAATATAATTATTCTTTAGGTTGGAGTATAAACAGCAGAAGCAAAAAGGTCTTATTAAAAAATTTTTTATAATCTTATTGAACAACTTGAAAATTGGTTTTAAAACTCTAGACTTAACTAATAGTATTATTCCTCTCTCTCCCTTTGTCTGCTTGGTTTACTTGTCTCCCTTTTACTCTTGGATGGCAACATTTGGATCAACTTAAACTTTGACTCACGAACTATGAAATCCCCGTCACTTTTCTGGATACACCGTTTTCATGTCTGACATTCAATCTCATACCCCACCCACCTTCTCTGTAACGCTGACCTCCTGATACCACAGCGAAACGATAGATACCCACAAGGTGGATCGGTAGGGGGCCGAACAGAAGTTGAGTCCCCAAAGCAGCAGCAGCCACCGCTGGGCCCCCAGGTCGGACCAGCCCCAGCATTTGGCAGGGGGAGCCCAGTAGGGGGAGTTTTTGATGGGCCAAATAACAAGCGCCGCAGATACTAACTTCTCACTGTTCACATGAATCTTTGTCACAACCCAACCCTGAGAACGTATTCTGTTTTTACATTGACCTACTTCCCCTAACCCTGTGATGTAAATGTGTGCTGGAAAAAACCTACAGAATTTTTTTCCTTTGTAACATAAGTTGTCAGTGAGAGGGATTTATTTTGTGACTGGTAAAATACAGAAAACTGCTTTGTTTCTACACTTATCTGCAATGTTTATATACATTTTTCACAGCATATGTTTCTCCTGTTTCCTGAATGATATGATGTGTGCTTTTCCCCCATCTGAATACTGAATGTGCAAACAAGTATTGTAGCATGTAGGAATAAAAGCCTTTGCAATTAGACATGTTTGCAGTTGCTGTGGCTGCTGTTACCCGGAATATGCTCCATAAGACTGCTCTACAGGAGTATTAGATAAAAAAATAAAAAAAAAACACTTATCAGACTGAGTTGGAGCAAAACCAAGAGTGCTGTCCTTACAGTACTTAAATGTTGATTCTAAAAAAAAAAAATCCAAAAGACTCCTGGAGGTAAATTGTGTTGATCTCAGTTGCTCTGTCATAAAATGCCTTAGCTCATAGATTTTGTTGCATTTGAATGTTATGCTCCCTTTAATCATAATATTAATCTTGACTGTTCAGTCATGTAGTGAGCGAATGTTTCTGTGGCTTTGTTGCATTGTGTGTTTGGTCAAGAGAAATAAAACATTTGTAGGAAATTGTTTTTTTTATTTATTTATTTTTTTTATTTAAAAGATATTTCCCCATAAACCTGACAGCAAATAAACCAAATGAAGCAGCAATCAAAGTTAAATTTAGGGCAGAAGACTTTTTTTTTATTAGGTGTTAATGTCAAAAAACTTATCAGGACTGTGTGAGGGTGGCTTATTCAGGTAACCTAGCAACATAAACAACCCCACAGTTCTTGTCAGATTTGGAATCCAGTATTGCTAAGATTGGTCAATGGGAAGTACAGCATCCTGCACACTCCAGACCAGAAAGAACGGACTTCACACTAATACAGCAGTCACTCATGTGAATGAGCCGGAACTTCTCTAAAAGTATTATTCATGAACAACCCCAGCACTCATTACACTGATGATTAAGAGATATTTTTAGAGCCTTGTTAGTCAGGACATCTGCTGAGCTAGCTGCTTGCTGTTGGCTGGTCTTTGGTGCCAGGTGATGTCTGTTGTATCTCACACTTTGGATCAAACACCAACTAGAAGGTGGTGATCTGTGTTAAACCCCACGATTCATCAGTAAATTTTAAACCCCATGTAACCCAGACATAAAATGCGAATGCTGTTAAACCACATCTTCTGAAAGGTGCATAAAGTGTGGGTGGGCTTTGGGGGCTTAAGTAAGTGCATGTGTGTGTATGTTGATAGACATGTTTAACCCTTATGCCTCCCTAAGTACATTTTTGTCCTTTTCACATTTTTATTTTCAAGCCATTTTGGCTGTGTTGAATGAATGTAGCTCAAACTTGCCAAATGATATTTTTTTTTCTTTCTTTTAAATTTAAAATTGAGGTCTCACTTCCTTAAATTGGCCTAAAATGGCTAAGAAAAACAAATCCATCCAAATATCGCCCTCCAGACATTTTTTGTCCCATTGAAACCCATTTAATGGCATATTTATCCTGCAATAAAGCAATGCACCGCGCCTTGTTTCTAATGAATTTTGAAGTACTTAGTCCCAAAATGAAAATCAGAATTACAAGTTGGGACCAAGTACTTCAAAATTCATTAGGAACAGAGTGCAGTGCATTGCTTGATTGTAGGATAAATATGCCATCAAAAATAGCGTTTTTAATGGGTTTCAATGGGACAAAAAATGTCTGGAGGGCGATATTTGGATGGATTTTTAAAAATCTGGCGCTACAAAAAAACAAAAATGCATCAATATCAATGTTACTACCAATCACTGACCCATCCCAGGGCCTAATAATAATAATAATAATAATAATAAAATACTGGTTGAAATGTATTTTTTTGAAAATTATTTCATTTTTTTGTTTTTTCGATGGGGAAAAAAAGAGGGGTTATGACAACATACTGGCCTTTAAAGGGTTAAAAAAAAATCCCAAAATATAATTCATATTTGATATGTATATTTCAGACAGAAGTCGTTTTAAAAGATTGGCTAGTTTAGTGATATAATCTTGTGGCTCCCAGTGATTTAGACACTTCCAGATGTACAGTATTTAACTTTTTTTAATGAGGTGAACATTTTAGGCAAAGTCATAAAACATTATGTTGAAAAATTAAACCCTCTGCTGTTAATTCTTGACACAGAATAAAACAACACTACTCTTAGACCTATGGATTTTGCCTGTAGTTCCAGGAATTACTTTTTATGAACCAAAATATTTACTCATACTGTGTGTCCAGATGTCTTCAGTGCTTGCATGTACTGTATATGTGTGTGTGTGTGTAAGCAAAATTAATGATTAAGACAACGTGGCCCTGGATCTTTGTGTGGTTGACCGTACAAGCTCTTCATATCACTGGATCTGGGGAATGTGATATACTGACCAGGTTTCATGGAATCTAAAGAATAGTTTTATAACAGGTAAATACATTTCATTTTTACCTTTCTTGTATCTTTGTTGTCAAAAACACACATACACTGTATATTTCACTTGAGCCATGTTTCTGTATAGCCTGCTTTTCTGTGTCTATCAAGTAAATGTGACTAATACTGCATCAGTAGTGTGAATCAGTATAAATCACAATAAGGCAGTGATTTTACTACAAAGTCGAATCAAATCATGGGGCTGGTACAGTCTTTCTGATGATGAGAGAAGTGTATATGCACCATGTGACATGCATTTGTTTATAAGGATGAGTTCATTGCAAACTACAGACTGAGATAGATTCTTTACCAATTCTGGGTCACATCATGATCATTTGAAGGCTCTCCAGGTATTTTGAATTGTAAGGGAAGTTTAATAGGTTTCATCAGTTAGGGATCTTGAAATTCTCAGGACAGCAGTCAAGGACAGTGTTGTAGTCGAATCACTAAATGTCAAGTCCCTAGTGCTCACCAAAGAATAGTCCAAGTCGAATCCTCATTAGCTGAGAGGCGAGTTCAAGTTGAGTGCAGAGACCGTGCAGTTTGATCTTGTAGGTTGCATGTTCTAAAATAGAACAAATTTTGACAAACTTGCCAGCTTTTCTTCTGTATTTTGGAAATTTTCTTACATCAGGCAAGCATTCAGTAATGTTAGCTCTTACTGTGACAAGATGATCGCATGTCTTTCATCAGGTGGTGTTCCAGATGGGGGGGGGGCATTTTACCTGTTCTCTGTCATGTTCATCTGTATCTGTACAAATACTCTACAGGCTAAATAAAGCAGTTTATGAAATGTCACTCTTAGTTATTAGCTCATTGTCAAAGTAGAATTTTTATTCTACAGTTAAACTGTCTTATTAAATCTTAGCTTATTTCTCATATTTGTCTTCTTTTGTTTCAGTTCCTGTCTGTGTACTGATTCCACTGAGTTGGACAGTTGCTAGGTAAGTCTCCACACACACACACACGGCCTGTACTTGAATGGGTTAAACGTGTTTTGTTTTGTCGACTGAGATGGCTAAAACTGAGCTTTTGTGCATATATTGTGAAGTGAGATGCAGAACGATAGCAGGACGACATCAGTTAAATGCAAGTGAAATACACAAGGATTTAGTAAGAAGAGCCTAATCACTGACTAGTTTTATTGTATTGTTTTAAATATTGTGCCGTAGTCTTTACTGCGGGGAGAATTTCCACATGGTAAAAACGAACCTGCATAGAATTAATATTATAGCTGATAGAATTCAAGCAAACTGGTTGATGCATAAAGGTGGGAGAAGTGTGTTTGTGGCAGAAACATTGGGAACCAGTGAGCAAGGCCACGTTGCTTTTCTTTGCCATGCCCAAGGCTGTTCATTATCAACACGAGGGAAGGTAATCATTAAAGTGATCCAGTTTTAACAGGGCTGATTGTGGCCAATTTGGGGAATGACTACTCAGATTCTTCACTTTCTGGCCTCATTCTTCTTTAGCCCAGTTTGTGGCCCACTTCTCTTTCTAGAAGGTCAATTGATTTGGGGGCAATAGTTATTTTTCCTTTGGAAAATGTGCCAAGTTCACAAGCTCCCTTTAAAATCCTTTGTCTAGATTTCTTTCCTCCAAAAGGATAAGGTGTTGACTTGCATGTTGCCGCCATGTATTAGACTTAAATTAATCTCATTACATTAATATTTGCATTACAAAGCAAACAGTGTTTTTATGTAGAGGAAATAGGAGAGAGTATTTTCATTTAGGGCTTGACTGTGCCCTACATTGCAACCTCACGGCCTAGATTGCACTCAGTACTATTCATGACTTGTTTCCCAGAGACACTGGAATCTAAAAATGTGACTTCAGACTGATGGAGAATCTAGAGCTACATCAGTCAGGCGCACACTGTTGACCAGTAATCTGTCTGTTGCATCGAAACAGCTTCTTCTAGTTCAGAACCAGTTTCCAGGATTCCTTTGTTCATCTTTACTGGTTTTAACCCATTTTCTGACAAACCCTACTGTTGTGGGCACAGAATAACCTGTGACTTCACAGTCAACCCTATAAAAAAACTTTGTAAAATGCTGTTTGTTGTCGGTAATCAAGCCAATTCATTCTGCTGGGTGCATCAAAATTTCTTTAAACAAATTGATTCCCAAAGCACACACTGTTCTTTCCCAACAATCTCACATCTCTCATTGGTTGTTTTAGGCTAAATCTGATTGTCTGCTCATGGAATGGAACGGTTTGGTTAAAAATAGGTAGACCTATTTTTTGCAGTGTGTTGGTGCCGCCTACCTTGCGTAAAGACGCATTAAGATGTGGCACAGCAGCTGATAATCCAGACAGGAGGTGCTTTTGGTTACAACACAGCCTTTCATTGATATGAGGAGAGACTGAGAGGTGTGAGGTCACCTGAGCTTGTTTTGTTACTAACTCGTTGGAACTTAACTCCTCACAGTTTTAGTTTTTCCCTTTGTGCCTCTGGCTGCAGACTAAATATTTTCAGCGACTTGTAACAAACTTGAATTGAGATTATTTGTTTCTTCTGGAGGTGGAGATTATTAATGGGATTTCTCTCTTTCTTGTGTCACTTGAGGATGGTTGAACAGTGAGCCGGAGGGCGTCTGGAGGCTGGATGGAAAGCATGTCTCCACAACAGCAACAGGACGGTCTCAGCCGAGGTAGTGGGCAGCAGGAAAACAAATGGGTACTTTTTATTTACTTATTTATTGCAATTGCTTTTAATTGTGAGAAAAGTGGTTGACATGTAAATGATTTAATTCATGCTGGGTTAATTTACCCGACTGCACAGAGGAGGAACATGATTTATTTAATACAAGTTAATGTTTTGGTTAAGTCCCCGCTCCTTCATTTAGCTTTTGAGTGATTTATTTGATGAACGGAGAAAGGTGATCATATTTCCTTGGAGGTAGCTGACTTATGACTGTCGGTCAGGTCGGGCAGAGGTGAGCTCAGAGTTCAAGGCTTTTTGCCCAAGTTGACACTCTGTGTTCAAAAAGACAGTCCAACGACTGAAGTAACCCTTGGGAATGTTAGGATGATGGTACAAAATACCACAGTGGTGCAGCAGCCTAGGAAAATGCCATTAATTATGACATTCGTAACAGTGCACACACACATATAAAGCATCTGTAGCTCACTTGATCAGACATTTGCAGTAGCATTTCATTTGGACCAGCCAAATGGCATTTATATGGCAATCAATAAGAGGTTTATAACACAGTGCAATGACTCTTAAGTCCTCTGCTGTATGAACAAATGATTGCTTGGCAACATAATAACATAGTTGTGCTCTTACATAGTGAAATGTGGTCAGAGAAAATCATTCAGCTGAAACATGTCAGCAACTTTTATGTAACTCCACATGTTTTTCTTGTGTTCCATTGTGGGTTTCCCTTCTCCCACTGTGTTGATTTCATTAGCATTTCTTCCATCAGTCTGTGTGGTCATTAGTGGCTGTAACCAGTCACGTTAATGTAAAGACAACCCATGCTTCACTGCGCAGAGGCTTCAGTACTATGTGCAGCATCCTTGTTTTCACAAGTGATTGATAGGATATCTGCTCCAGCATCTCATCTCTATGGTCTGGTTCATAACATACCACTAAACATTAATCCCTCCTTTGACAGTATGAATAAATACAGTGAACACTGGGGAAGTGCAGTCCCACCTTAATGAACCCAGGTCCCTTGAAAGTTGATGAAAGAGCACAGAAGGCTTTTCTACATCAGATTGATTTCCACGTGGGTTGTCTCTTGTCTTTCAGCAGTGCATCTTTTATGAACTGCAAACTGTGACCATTTAAATGTATCTTAAAGACATATTTGCTGTTAAAGTAGTTAGATGAGGCTTGTTGTTGCAAACCTGTGACTTTCAGTGACTCTGACAAAACTACATACAGGTGTTATATTAGTGTTGTCTGTAAAGGAGTTTTCTCTTAAACCACTGTGTTGTAATAACAGCTAATACTATTAGAGCTGATCAATACTCTGGTTTCCAGCAGAAAACCCCTGTTTCCACATTGGCTTATGTGAGTGTATTTTTAGGACCGAAAGGTAACATTGTAGTGTTGTAGCTGGAGTGTAAGGAATGTTGCACCGCTGTGCGACCCTGCTGAATCAATGATATTACACTGTGAAATGTCAAAAATGTCTGAATGTGTAATGTTTAGCTTTGCAGGGCAGTGTGGTCAAGTGTGATATGCAAGTAAATGGTAAATACAAGGAAATTGTTGCTTTAACATTATTTTACAGCTGTTTATGTGTTATTAGACTTTTGAGTAAAGAGAAGAGACTATGGTGTGGAACCATAGACTGGTAATAAAAATATATTTAGAGTTTATGCATGGAACACAAATTCTGAAGTTCAAATTGTCCCAATAAAGGCCAAGTTACTTCTACAGTAATCTCGAGGTGTTGAAGTGATGTAGAGCTGCATTCTCTTAATAAAATATTTTCAGAAAAGTGTCTGTCCCTCTTCATATGCCCAAAAAGGGCATGTGTAACTGAGAAAGCAACTTTCTGGACCACCCTAGATACATAAATGTTAAAGCTTTATGTTCATAACACACAATATTTGTATTTGGACTAACTTTTTAATGTCATCCCCCTCCACCACACCACTTCTTTGTCTCTTTCAGCGGCTAAAGTCTCAGAGTTACCGACGTCAGTCAGCCCCATCTCTTGTCATCACCAAGGCACTCACCAGGTCCAAGACCCTCTCCAGGTACTGTAAAATACATTGAGAGACTCATGAAGTAAATGGAAGTGTACCAGCAGGTTTGAGGTGATGCCACAGGTAACAGTAGTGTCAACCAGGGTGACCAGGTCAGTCCTGACACCTGCAGAAACAGCCAGACCTCTCTTACACAGAGGTCAGTGTGGTCAAACCCTGAAGCCATGCTCTCACACGTGCACACACACACATACACAGAGGTGCTGAGTCCACTCAGATAGATAATCCTCCTGTCAACAGACTTAATCAGAGGATCAGGCAGCTATTAATAGTGGCTGTCTTTGAACATATGGACTGGGAAAGTGAAGAAGAAATAACCTCATTAAAAAGCTCCTACAGAGGTGGGGCACCCCACTGAAAACTACTCACCAACCACAAACCTTGGTTTCAAACTGTGTGCACGTCCCTGTTTATGATCTAACTCCCATGGCAAATGTGGACATGGTTAATACACAGAGGACACAACTAAAACATGTCTGCATAGCATCACAGGGCCTTAGAGGATGACTAAGAATGTAATTTATCTTAACCTGTAAAAGAAATGTGAAGGGATTTGGTTCTATGTGGCCCATGTGTTTGTTTTTCCAGAGAGAGCTTCTCGGTTCCTGTGTGTCCGGAGACTTGCTCACTGGTCCAGTCCTTCCTGACCAGCTCAGACAGGTTGTTTCTTCTCCATGGACATGCTCAGTTGAAGACGGGAATGCAGACTCAGGACAGACACCTCTTCCTCTTCAACGACATACTGGTGATTGCCAAAGCCAAGTAAGCACAGGAGTGTAAGGTCTAAGTTTGAAATTACTGTAGTGGTGTGTGTGTGTGTAGGTGTTGACTCTGTTCACACTGAGACAGCGCATGTCTCTGTGCGTTCCCAGGTCAGCCAACAACTTCAAGCAGAAGGACCAGGCGCGCGTGTGTGAGATGTGGACAGCAAGCTGCATGGACGAGGTGTGTGAGGGAAGCACGAACCCCGAGTGGAGCTTCGTCCTGGGCTGGCCCACCTGCAACTGTGTCACTACATTTAGGTAACACACATTAATACTTTAGTCATGTGTTGTCTCGATTTATGTAAATCTGCATTGAAGCAGAGAACACTAATATTCACACAACAAGTTTGGTGTATAAACAGATTCATACATTTTGTTTCATTAGTAAATGGTGTGTGTTGGTGGTTAACTCAACCTTAAATGCCAAATGAACAGGAAGCAGACGAGAAGAGCCAGAAGCTCTTGTACTGAGGCACAGTTTAGAGTCAAACTGAATGACTTCCCAGCGCTTGTCTTTATCCAGCGCTTAAGTAGGAGAGCAGTCCGCCCTGGCCAGAAATTCTCAGTGACCGACTTTTCAATCTACATTTAGAACCAGTAGTGAAAACATTTGATCATCCCCCTTAATTTGTGCAATGACTCATAACTCTAATACCTCAGAGAGCTCCAGGAGATGGAGGTCAGGCAGAGACATAAGCCACATTCTGTGGTTGGAGGGATTCACTGATGAGCTTATCAAAAGATTTAGCAAAAGTGAAAAGGCGATAAAAACCTTGCAGGTACTTGTGATTGGAAGGCAACAGGAAACACTGGGTCTGTCAGAATTGTCTGTCTGCAGTAAGAGATGAGATTTTTTTGCTCGTGCAGCTCGTCAGACAACATTTAGACATCCTATTCTGATGTAAGGGGCACAAAATCCACAGTCCCCATTGTGCATAAAAATGCATTCCCAAGTTCAGCTACAATTACACTTGGACTTGTTCTGTCTCCTGCCACCCCAGCTCAGTAAGAAAACACACACAGAGAGAAGGTTGTACTAAAAATAACAACTTTGCAAGATACCTATTTGCGTTTGCTTACTTAGCCGTACGTTTGCACTGTGGCTGTTGATTTTCTCACTGGAATTAGCTTAGGCATGGATTTCTTAATGGCCAGTATGAAAAAGAAGGAAAAATGCAGTGACGATAATTGTTTAGTGTACATGCAGATGAAGACGGACTGTAATTATGTGTGTTTGTCCATGTTCCCCTCAGCTCTGCAGAGCAGAAAGAGAGATGGCTGTCCCTCCTCAAAAGGTAAACTTCACCTTCATGCATCAACACTGAGCAGGCACTCTGTGTGTATGAGAGAGAGCAAAACCTCACCACATGCTGGATGTCCTCTTTGCTTTCTCGGCAGCCGTATAAAAGAAGAGAAAGAGAAGGAAGAACCTAAAACCATCCCCCTGAGAGTGTATGGAAAGGGAATCAATACTTTTGCTGTTGTAAGTTTACTTTGATGTCTAAGTAGCCAACTTTCTATGGGTTGATGTCGTACGTTGTTATTTTACTTGATGATCCAGTACAGAAAATGTTTATGCAGTCTTTTTTTGTGTAGTGTAAAGTATCTGTAAATGATGTCCAGTCACACGTGTCTTAATATCTCCTGTGTGTGTCTGCTGCTTTCTCCCCTGACTAGGCCAAGACGCTCCCTGTCAGCAACTCCGATTCAACCAACGAGGTGATCCGACTGGCCCTGCAGCAGTTCGGCATCATTGTGAGTAACCGAGAAAAATGAATGAAACAAAAAGAAAGCAGGCACTTTTTGTTTCTCATTATAGTTTTTTTTATATAGTTTTTAATAAATCATTCAAGTCATGTCTAATGACAATCAAACTTAATTGAAATGAGTACTATTTGCAACTTGGAGCCATAAATAATAGAATAATGCCTTCCAAAGTAAATAACTGAACAAATGCTCCACAGGTTAATTGATGTTCAGAATAATTGTTGGCTGCAAACCGTGTGATTATGTTGACTGGCAGTTGTTTAAAAAATGGAACCATGTTTATCAGACAGTTCCTTAAATTTCAGTGTGATTTATATTTCTGTGACAGGTTTTAGTTGTGTAATCATTTATATTTGTTTAGATTTATTGGTGCAGCTCAAGAAAAAGGCAGTGCTGCTGCAAGTTCAGGAGCACCAACATTTTCTTAAAAACCATCCCAAGCACGGAGGGAAAAAAAACTCCAAATGTTGTACCACAAGTCTGTTTTTCTGCACGTTACATGTGACACAAACACACAGCATGTGAAAACAAATAGGGAATCCTATATGCTATACTTTGTTGTATCCTAAACACATGTCTCTGTGCTCTGTCTGGTCTTTACCTGTTTTCTGCAGGGAAATGTGAAAGACTTTCAGCTGTGGGTCATCTCCAAGAGGGACAACGCCCCATATCCTCTGATTGGTCAGTGAATGAGGTTCACAGTACTTTGACAAAATATCATCAAATGCTGTTTTAATCTTAAGGTTGCTGTTAGAAGCTTGTTTCTTGACTTGCCTTGGCACGACGGTGACATGTTGTGCGATGAGGCTACTGCAGTGAGGAAGTGAAGAGTCACAGAGTGAGTGCTGATTAATAATGAGATGTTCAAGTATTGACACTGTCTACTTCTCTGTCTCAGGTCATGAGTGTCCCTTCAGTATCCAGATGAGTCATGTGAGACCCTCAACGTCTCGGGGAGGAGGAGGCAGCAGGGACACTGCTGCGCCACCTGCGGACAAACAGAAGGCCGTGCTGGAGGAACAGGTGTACAGGCAGTGCCAGTTCATCCTGAAGCCTCGACCCATTGAAATGCCCCAGCAGCACATATCTGCAGGTGGGATCATGCACTGCATCAGTTTGTGTAGCGTAAAAGTGTAAATGAAAATGTAGGGATTCATTTTAAAAGTGAATTAAACAAACTGATCATTTATTCTCCTGCATTCTGTGACACTGTGATGTCGTTTCAGAGTTGTCTCAGAAGTCTTTGAAAAGGCGACGCTCCCTCATGGCCTGGGCCTTCTGGCGAGGCTGCTCCTCTCACCTGAATGAACTGTCGCTTGCCAGTGGTGCCCGTGGCTGCCTGTTCGGCCATCCGCTCAGTGCTGTTTGTTTAGAGAACGCTCTGCCAAAACCAGTCATGGTAAGTGGGTGCATCCATGGAGTAATGCCACCAGCATGACTAAAGAAATTAGAAATCCAGAGTAAAAACTGTGATTTATATATTTTTTTGGCGTCCCTCATCTTTGCACTAACCAGAGGGAACTATTAGTTTTCTGTCTGTGTAGATGGAGACCTGGTTTTCATTCAAATTATTAACCATATCTTTCAGCAGCAGAAATGTCATTTCTGCTGCTGAAAGAAAAATATTTCTGCCATTTTCCCCAAACCCTTTTTTCTTCCATTTCATTTTAAGAAAACACCCTATTGACAATTTTGAAAATCTCAAACTATTTTGGACTGCAGTGATCAGTTGCATTTGAAGACAGTAACAGGCCAAATAATAATTTAAAGCACATGGTTCATACCTTCTTTCTTGGTCATTACTGTAATGGGGAATGTTCCTGTGAAACCTGTCTCTGGACGGGTTTCACAGGAACTTGAGAAGATAAAGAAATGGTGTGACAGTAATATAGTATCTCTGAATATGGATAAAACTAAATTTATGGTATTAAATTAAAGAATTTTTGATATGAATCATTACTCAAAACATGTTTCTATTACAGCGAGAAGTTTGAAGCCACCAATAACACAGTGGAGCTGCGTCTGCACCTGGCACCTTGTTATAGGTTAGAAAATGGATCCCTGCAGCAGGGAAGTGCTTGTTACGTTGTATAGTATTTGGGATTTTGGCTTTATAGACGTTGCTGCTTTAACTGACTGATAAGACGTCTGTGTTTATGTATAAAGCCAGGAACAATTTATTACCTGGTGGAATTCAAAAACTATTTAATGAAAGGGATGGGGGATACAATTTAAGGGGTCAGTTAAATTTAAAAATTCATGCTATACGTACAACCAAAAAAAGATTTTGTATTTCCATAAGTGGGGTAAAACTATGGAATAATTTAAGTGTGGACATAAAAAATAGTAATAGGATTGACGAGTCTAAACATAAATATAAAGGTATGTGTCAATCAAGATATATGCAAGAACAGGTTTAACGATTAATCAGGTGTAACATTGTGGGTGTGGGGTAAGAATGTTAACACTATGCAATATTTCTACTTGTGTGATGTAGAAGATAATTATCAAAGTATGTAATTATGTAAGAATGTTAACAGTCTGTAATATTCTTTAGTATATCACTAGCGTGGTGTAGAACAAAATTATCTATGTAGAGATACTGCTTGCAAACCAAAGATGATGATGATGATGTAAGATGATGTCATGGGGTAGGACTGGATAAGTCTGACTTCTTCCTACTCCGTTCAAGCATGTACTAGGTATAAGCAAATTGATAATGGATTTGTGGATATGTGTGAAATTGTGTGTGTTGACGTATTGACTGTCTTTACATGTTTGAAAGAATAAATCAGAAATCAGAATCAGAAGTGATGGTGGTACCTTCTCTCTCTGCTCCTTCACCAGGACATGCTGCGGTTTCTGTACCACGAGGGTTCTTGGACGCGGGGCATCTTTCGTCGACCAGCGGGGGCTCGGGCTGTGAGGGAGCTGCGGGACTCCTTGGACACTGGGGGTTTCCAACTTCCTCTGACACGAGACCACGTCTTTATTATTGCTGGAGTCTTTAAGGTACGAGTGTGCACAGAGCATACACTTATACTTTTTCAGGAACAAGATGAAAACATTCAGTAATACAACCAATACCATGGTATTTTTAATTCTGAAAAACATTTTCAGACAGACAGCATCACAGAGAAACGGTGTGATTTACTGATGTGCATGTTTTCAGGATTTCTTGCGCAGCATCCCTGGCAGCTTGTTGTGTTGTGAACTGCATGAAGAATGGATGGATGTGCTGGAGGAAGAGGAGTACGAGGAAGAACAGGTGCAGGACGTAAAGAGGTAATAAACACATGACATGATTTTGCAGATGCTTTGATGTGAACACCTGCTGTTCTTCTGTCTAAAGACTCGTACACAGTTTGATTCATTTACTTTCCCCTGGCTCTGTCTTCTTGCAGGATGATTTGTCGGCTGCCCAAAGAAAATGCCCTACTGCTACGCTATCTGTTGGCTGTGCTGCATGGTATCCAGGGCAACGCCCACGAGAACCAGATGACGAGTTTCAATTTGTCAGTGTGCATCGCCCCCAGCATTCTTTGGCCTCCTGGAGCACCCTGTAGCCCTGAGGTGGAGGGAGAAGGAACTAAGAAGGTGAGAGAGCAGGGACAGAAGTTGCATCTGATGTGGTTTTAAACTCTCACCTATGGTCATGAACTTTGGGTCATGACCGAAAGGGCAAGATCCCGGATACAGGCGGCCTAAATGAGCTTTCTCCACAGGGCGGCCGGGCGCACCCTTAGAGATAGGGTGAGGAGCTCGGTCACCTGGGAGCAGCTCAGAGTAGAACCGCTGCTCCTCCACATCGAGAGGAGCCAGCTGAGGTGGCTAGAGCATCTGTTTCAGATGCCTCCTGGGCGCCTTCCCAGGGAGGTGTTCCGGGCATGTCCCACCGGGAGGAGGCCCCGGGGAAGACCCAGGACACGCTGGAGGGACTATGTCTCTCGGCTGGCCTGGGAACGCCTCAGCATGCCCCCGGAGGAGCTGGAGGAAGTGTCTGGAGAGAGGGAAGTCTGGGCATCTTTGCTTAGACTGCTGCCCCCGCAACCCGGTCCTGGATAAGTGGAAGAAAATGGATGGATGGATGGATGGATGGTGGTTTTAAATGTGGTTTGGAAACATGAGTCGGTGCAAACTGTGGCCACCGTAAAGACCTTTTGGGTGAAATGTATCTAATACATGGTGGAATTTGACTCAAACCTAGATATAGCTGGGTGCTGTAAAAGCCATAATTATGTTGCAAAGCATTTTAATAAATGTGTCTAAGCCATCTTGGAGCTCTATAACAAAGACACGTTTGTTAGATTGATGTCCAGACCACCAAAAAAAACAGGTCTGTAATTGCCATCCCAAGAAACAGTGGCCCAAATGCCCCCTTCACCTCCTCAACCAGACAACTTTCTCTACTCTAATTGGAAATCTTAATGTTACAGTAGAAATCCACAGCCTCATTCACACTAACACTGAACTGCCTAAACTGTCAAGTGGCTGTTATTTTTGAGAAATGATCTTTGTGTTTAATTCCTGTCAATTGGTACATTGTTAACACCGCTAAACCTCATCAAGCTTTTCTCACAGGAATGTCTGAAATCAGCTTAACAGAAAGGGTCGAATGTCTTATTTTAAAACACTCTTTTTGAAATGTGGACAGAGCAAACTCCAGACATGAAGTCCTCAGTATAAAGCATTGTAACACAAGTAGCTGCTCAGTAGTGATGCACTGTGAAAGCTGAAAGCAGGAGGTAGGAAATCAGATATGAAAAGAAAGGTTGTGAATCTTGAGAACCCGTTACACCAGTGCATCTGACCAGAAGTTGTTATAGCAGTTGGGTATTCATCTCTCTCTGTTCTTTATCTGTTTGCAGGTTTGTGAGCTGGTGCAGTTTATGATTGAACACTCTCAGCAGATTCTTGGGGAGGATCCCTCCGCTCTGTTTGGAGGGCCACCTCAGAGACCTACTACTGAGGAGACCAGCTCAGGTAGGCACGCAATGGAAACAACTAATGTTCTGTTATCTGTTGCTTACTCTAATGTACCATAGTAAACATCAGGTCTGCATTTTGTTATTTTTATTTTACATCAACACTGGATAGAAAAGCTGTGTTAGAACAGATCTGAAATGTCTCTACTGTCACCTGAGAACAGTACTATAACAAATAAATGCAGAATGTGATTGACAAACTAGAGAGATTTTTATTTGTATTATATTATTTCACATTTTACTTTTTCCAAATGCCTAAAAACCCAAAGACTGAAGAAAATTCAGTATTGACTGACTAGCGGTTACAGATTGTGAGTACTGAGCTGTGAAAGCTTTCTCCCACTGTCTTCCTACATCTGTCTCATTTATGTCCTTCTCCTCTGCCTGGATCGTTAGACTCGTGGATGTACCCTCTGACCGACTCATCCTACGACAGTCTGGAGAATGAGTTGGACAGCAGCGGTGGGTCGCCCAACTTCTGCAGCAGAAGGCGCCTGTGTTCCAAACCACGTCAAGGCAGCCTAGACTCCATCCTCACATTCAGTGACTGTGACCAAGACACAGACCCAGATGTACACTCTGCCCAAGCTGCCAGCCTGCATGGTCTGAAGTTACGCCCACTCAGGCAACAAGCTCCAGACCTCTCCTGCTCCAGCCAGGATGCTTTAACTGTGCACACCTCCACTCTGGACTCCCTGTCCTTGGATGGTCAGCACAGACAGCGGCGCAGTTCAGAGCCAGCTATAGCGTACCTGGCCAAGTTTCAGCCATGTGCCTCAGGGAGTACTGCTGCTCTCACTGGTGAGGATGACGATGGCAAAAAAGAGCTTTCCATGCAGCCCAGCGGCCACACACTCGCTCACACAGACACCAGAAGTCAGAGTAGGAGGAGTGGAGGTGAGTCCAAGTTAAACCTGCACAGGGGTAAGTCAGCAGGTCTCAAAGCCAGCTCCTCCAGCCTCTCCACCACCCCCACCTCCCCTGCTCCAGTGTGCTCCTCCCTGGACACCATCAGCAGTGACCAAACCTGGGTGACTAGACATGGGCTCTGCCCAGCCAAGGCACATCTGTCCTCCACCTCTGGGTCACTTTCCATTTCTGTCCCCTCTACACCCTTCAGTATAAGCACTGCTCTGACCTCTGGTGGACAACCAGACCTGGGAACCAGTCCAGAAGGCTCTCCACCCAGAGAACCACACAACTGGGGGACCTTAAAAGGCTGCAGGGGACTCCATCCAAACTCTTGGCTAAAGAAAGACCAGAGACTGTCACTAACCCAACAAGATGACCCGGAGAAACAAGAAGAGGACACAACTGGAGTGAGTAGTTTTCTGATTTTGGTTTTTTCATTTCAAAATGAAAATCTACACTCACGGGCCACTTTATTCGGTATACCCGTACAATTGTAAGCACCTAACTGCAACATTTCCTCAACATCTGTGTTTATGGTGCTCAAAATGCTTTTGGTGAAAATGTCATAAATGTATAAATTCTAATTTATGTTTATAGTTAAAGGTGGTGTTGTACTGGACTACATTATAGTCAGAGGGGTCTCTATATTATGTCCTCCCCAGCTACATATAGGAGGTGGTCAGAATATTTGGAACCTCTAAACCAAGAACAAGTAGATTCTCTTCACCATCTCCTGTTACCAAAGATCAACATACTGTATGTTTCTGCACATAGGGACCCGTGGACAAACTGCTCACACTTGTCCCAGAGAAAGGAAAAGCAGATGAGAGGGGAGGAGGGCAACTGATCTCTAGCAGCCAACACAAGCTCAAAACATCCTGCAGACCCTCAAAAAATGGAGGAGGGGAACATGTGAGGAACCAGTGGCATTTTCCTAAATGCCACTGGTTCCAGTCCTCCCCACTGACAGTACACACCAGTACAGCAGCTGCCCTCACCAACCAGGGACATGGAGCACAAAGCAAAGTGAGCGACCCAAAGCAGACCGGACTATCTTTGTCTCTATTCAAGTTCTACCAGCGCCGGGGGTCAGAACCTGGACGCCAGATTGTCGACCGAGGCCCTACCCACATCCGGGCGAGACTGCCCAGTGACCCAGGACTGAAGGTGTCCGAAGTGGATTCACAGGGGGAGGAGCGTTTCTCTCTCTCCCCCTGTGCTGCCAAAGCAGTGAGGGACTACTTCTCTTCTCACCGGTGCAGTAACTCCCAGAGCAGCCAGCAGGTGGCGCTCGCACTTGTCAAGAGTCACAGGGAATGGCTGAAGAGATGCAGTGATCCAACAGCAGAGCCAGACTTAGACCGGCTTCTGTTTGCTGAAGAATCCTACGTCTGATTGACAGGACCTCAGAGGGAAACTAAACTAGATAGAATGCAAATCACTTCACTGCAATGTAATGAGGAAAAGGACACTGCTGCTGTTTTCAACTAAAGATTTAAAATATTGCAGCTTTCAGGCCGTCTCTCTTTGGCATGTCCTAGTTTCAGTACAATGCAGAGTTCATCGGCTTTCAAAAACTGAGTGAACACTTATTTTACTTGCAACCTTACAATGGGCTGCTTGTTGGCGTCATTAAACACACTGTCCTGTGTAGGGTTAAACACCTTGATTTAGCAACATAACCTAACAGCAAACTGTTTACTGTGGTAGAGCAAACATGGAGAAAATTTGTTTTAAACAAAACTAGGCCAAGGAAAACACATACATTGAGGTTTGGCTAGAGCTTTTTGCCAGGGAATGTTCAATTTTTATGGCATTGTCCTCAAGACTGGATTTACACATGCAGAAAGACTTTGTTGTGACATGTTTATTACAGTCTAAACAGCAGGATTGATTTGTATCAGATGTATTTTTTAAACTATATTGGGCCAAAGTTGAAACCTGCCCATTAAAACTACATGTATCGCCTTGTTATATCATGAACAAGTAGAATCTCTAGTGACTGGTTGTTGGTTGGCTGAGGTTCTAATACAGATGGACAAACATTACGGCTGAATCACTATTAGGACATGGTTAAGGACTGTGCTCAATGCCGACACCAATTCATTATATTATTAAATAGCACCCAAATCTGAGTTGTGTTAAACACTTAATGGAGCCATCAACCTACATCACTTCTTACAACACTATACAAATGTCATGCTCCTTTCCTTCACTGGCACTGGATTAAAATGTTAAAGAATAGTTAAAATATGAGCATTATTAATACGAGACATTATGAGATATATTTAGATTTTTTAAATGTATTGACTTTTTTTATTTGGCCTGTAGTGTAAATGCAGCCTTGGTGCACACTGCACGTTGTCTGTCCTACAGTCATGAATATAGTTTAGCTTCATTATGCTTCATTATGTCGTCTTATTGTTTGAAACACATATTTAAAATTTATAAAGAGTTTTTATAGATTAGGATAATGTAAAATGGTAAAAACCTTAAATGTACTTTTTTTTGTAAAGTCTATACTGCTTTCTGCCAACTTGTCTGTGGTCAGTGGTACAGGTCTAGCATTACTAAAAAACATGCTGTAATAAAGTTTAGACATTTGCCGTAAGCCAGTGCTCTAAATATTTTAAATGCTTCTCAGCATTAGCACTTATCTCTGCACAGACTGTAGAAAGCAACATCGTCTGGTACATTTACACACTTGCAGTAGAACAAGTTGTTGCTGTGACCTATTTGTTGCCAATAATGTGGTTTTTTCAAAAGCCTGTACTGATTTGAATTAATCTAATGTGTTTAATATTTCTATTATACACACATATGATTGAAATCTGACGGGCTACACTGGTTATCGCTATATTGTTTTTCAAGCTTAATATTTTATGCAGCATAAATTTTAAGAAGACCACAATATTGTTTCTTTCTTGTATTGCCTCCTTCCTATGCAAATGTACTCATACGCTGTTAATAAGATCTAAAACTCACTTTCTTTTGCAAATAAAATGACCTATGAGTGAAAACCTAATTAACACGTGGTTTCTTTATGGAAGTAACTATTTCTTTACTCCACAGTTAAAGAAAACATATTTGAGAGCAAAACTTGGGTAGTGCAGCCAAAATAAAGTTTTGAATGTTAAGTATAAACAGACTGAAATAACCTTTTCATTTCAAACTGAAAAAATATAATTTAACACTTTTTTCTTTGTTTGTAGAGCCTAAGTCTTTAGGTGTGAATCAAAAACCTTTGCCGGTCAAAATATTTTGGCATGTGTAATACTGCGTCTCTTGGCCAGTAACGCTGCTGGCTGTGGTCCAGCTGGTGGTCATGCAGAGCGAGCGAGCAAGCAGAGCCTCCATGGCCTCTTCCACTGATGCCAGCTTCCTGTCCTTTCTGTAACATCAGAGGAAGTGACATCATCAAACACATGAGAGAGGACGAACCATGGCTGCCATGTTGTCTTTCAGCCCTTTAAATTCACTGAGTAACAAAATCTCCCTTTCCTGCCTCACAGGATTAGTTCTTTCACCAGCCTGGTTCACTGGTACTACGGAGTTCTACCAAATTCAAATTTTATTTGTATAGCGCCAAATCACAACAGAAGTTATCTCAGGACTCTTTACAAAGAAAGTAGAAAATCTTTTGGCAACCTAGTAAAGATTGGGATAAACTGCTGCCCTTGAGTCCCAGTATTTTAATGGATCTTATCCTCTGGAGAGGTAGGGCCCAGCCAAATAATGCTGAACCTCCACTGTTGCTTCAGCTGTTGAATTTTAAACTCTTTGAGTTGCACCTGCAGGAAATCAGAGGAGAAGAATGCAAAACCAATTATATGTGGTTTTGTATTAGGAAGAAAAAATGTCTTTGCCAGCCACTGCTATGCATCTAACACGACCTCGTCTCTGTGCTGCTGTCCGAGTGCCTTCAACACAGATTATGAGACCATGGGTTCCTGGGCACAGATATTTATGCCTCTTTGCAGTAATTTTGTTTTGTGTCTGTTGCATCTCTATCTAGAAAGTTTGCGGTCATTTTGAGTCAACTTGCAATTTTTTTGTGTCATGTCATTTTTTGTTTTCCATTCCAAAAAATGCCAACAAGATCACAGACAAGCATGTGAATTTTGATTCACAGAAGATGATGGTTTCCCTGGCTGCACAGACACTGAGTCGCTCTGTGGCAGTGGCTCTGCATACACTGAGGGACCTTGGCTATTCACAGTTTGAACACTGTGAAGCAACAGCTGAATTCATTGAGGTAATCACTTTAATTTTACTTATATATCCCTGAATCACAATATACATAAAAACGTGACTCTGCAGGCTGCTGGGTTGCCGATTGGCCCTTCCCTCTTCTTCAACACCACATGTGGGAAAAAGAAAAGCATTTTTTTTTAAATGTGCGTGTACATACACACCTTTTTGTTTTATTGATAAATTAACAAATTAGTTTTGCAGTCATAATGATAAAATGTTTTTCACAAATTAGGGTAATGAGTCATGGGAACATGTTATTGTTTATTATGATTCTATTAATGCAGACGTTTGCTTTTTAAGATAATTGACAGGCTCTTCGACATGATGAACAGCTGCAATCCCCATGCCAAAGGGTTTAAAGCTCCCTTGGGTCCTTTGAATTGGGCAGAAAGTGCAGAGTTCTTGTTGAGAGGCAGGGACTACTTGATGAGTTTGGTGATGAAAGATGGCACACTGCTTCATCGATCAAAGAGGTTTTAGAAAATAGTCAAGCTTTTGTTTTTATGAAGAGTTTGTAAATTTATGACATGAAGTTCATATGATGTTCTGTTCTAGGCAGGCAAGGCAATATGATAAAACCAAAAATTTTTTTTTTTGAGCAAATACCACTATAGACGGAATTTTGGGATGGCTTGGTGCTTTTGCACTATATTAATATTAGGGACATATTGCCCAGTCCTGTTCTCTTGTTCTGCATGCTGCATCATAAGTTCATATGATGCTTTGTTCTCTGATTCCAACGCAGTCTCCTCTTTTGTTTCTGTTAGAATTCTATCTTCAGTTTTTTTTCTATGTCTGTGTTTACAAGATTTCCTATTTCTGTTATAATATTGCTTTTTGTTTTTCTGGAGGTATGATATTAATGACAAAACATTTCCTTGTGAAAGGTACCTATCTGTCATGGGATTCATCATCAACATTGACACCCTGATGTTGATGATTCCAGAACTGCTTCAACGTCAGCGGTACGTTTGCACCTACCGCTGCAGCCAAGATCACTTGGAGCTCCTCTTCGATTCAATCAGGGCATCAGGTTGGGATTTGAGTTTTGTTTTTCTACCATGTGGTTTATATACAGTATATGTATACATGTTCCACAGTATTTTTGCCCTTTCAGATAATATTCTTCTCTTTTTAATTAAAGTCTGCCAGTCTCAAAATGGCATATACTGTGCTGCTTGGAATTTTGTGATCATTTTTATTATTTCTGCATAAATCTGACCTAAGACTACACATATACAGTAAAAGTGGTGTGTATGATTTAGGGTGCTGGAATAACAACCCTTCAGCAGACCACTTCCAGGCTATCTTCCGCCGTCTGATGGTGTGGTGTGTCTACAAGTACATCAGGAAATGTGGTAGCGCAGGATGACACTGTGGCCCTGTCTGCTTTGGAGATGTAATCTTCTCCTTGGTTTGTATTTTCTGTTCACCCATGGCTGCTTTAATCACATCCACATCTCGCTGGGTAAACTGCAAACTCGTTTTTATCTCCTGTATTTCTCTGGTCATGTCGTCGAGTCTCTTGTTATTTGTCTCCATAAGTAGTTGCACAAAACCTTTGAAGTTGTCTTGTTGGCTCAACAGTGCGGTGTACATCTGCTTCTGCTGACTCAACATCTCTGTTACTTGCGCCGCTGAAATATAATCCTCTTCTGCTTCAACATCCTCGATTGCTTCTGATTTATTAGCCCTTTTCCCTCTTGGAGGCATTTTAATAGCTGTAGAATTTGTTCAAAGACTTGAAAATGTAGAAGATGTGATAAATCGTAGAACAGACAAGAGGAGCAGTAAAAAAGACGTCTGCTCTCCCTTGAAATAATCCAATCTGCTAACATGATATAGTGAGCAAAACATAGCTTACATGCTAAACATCAGCATGTTGGCATTGTCAGTGTTAGCATGCTATCATTAGCATTTAGCTCATGACAGATGCAGGTAATTAGCAAACTAGTCCGTGAAAGGCTTATTTTGAGTTAGACAACTAAACAAAAGCATTTTGTTTTGGATTCTGGATATGGAAAATACTGAAAGTCTGCCATGCTATACACCCAACCTGCTTTGCTACATAAAATGAACATTATGTTTACAATGACACTGAATTTTAAATAAAAATATAGTCTATACCTACTCTATGTAAAAGCCAGCCAATTATGTTTTTTTTTTTTATTTGCAGGCTTTATTCTATTTCCCATTACATTACTGGTTAAAAATCACTGGACATAAAAACAATCAAAATTTGTTAACTAATCGTTAGTGCTTTAATTCCCATAGACACATCTACATTTCAGGAACTGCTATAGACAATGTAATAATCAATATTTAACTGTTATTTATTATCACAGTAACAGCATTACAAAAATTGGTAGCTGTAAACACTAATGAAAACATCAGAAAAGTACATATGTCGGTTTGGTTCCTACCTTTGTGCTAAATATATAAGGAGTAGTTAACATTTATAATCATCAGACAATGTGGCACATGTTGGTA